GAGGTTGCAGTGAGCAGAGATTGTGCCACTGCACTAAACTTCATCTCAAAAACAAAACAAAACAAAGATACAAGGCAAGATTATTTTTCCCAACTTCTAGCATGTCTGAGCATTTCAAGCTGAGTTAATGTTCTCATCATAGATGGTAAAGGTGCTTACCAAAGAGATGGAGCCATTGCTAAACCCGGTAACAAGCTTTCCTTGCTTCTGGACTGAGACGGCACAGGTAGGTGTTTCTTCCTTGATGCTGGACATATGTTGCTGCCCCTGAAGTTTTCCTGTGGCTGAGCTCCACAGACTGACCACACCATCCCTGGACACTGTCAGCAGCGTGGCCTGGGAGGCCAGCATGGCCATGCACATCCAAGGATCAGAGGCATCTCCCAGGATATGGAAAACCGGCTCTGCAGTTTCCAGATTCCAAGCATTGATCTAATAGAATAATAAAGAGGAAGAAGCATCTTGGCAGGAGACCTAGGCTGTAAGTTTCCCAGAGTCAAACGCAAGATGCATTCTCTTGTATACTTTATACATTTTCTTTTCTTTTAGAGACAGATCCTGTCTTTTTCGCCCAGGCTGGAGTGCAGTGGTGCAATCATGACTCACTACAGCATCGACCTCCTGGGCTCAAGCAATCCTCCTACCTTAGCCTCCCAAGTAGCTGGGACCACAGACACACACCACCATGCCTGGCTATTTGTTTTTGTAGAGACAGGGTCTGACTATGTTGCCCAGGCTGCTCCTGAGCTCCTGGGCTCAAGCTATCCTCCCTGTTCGGCCTCTCAAAGTGCTGGGATTATGAGTGTAAGCCACTGCACCCGCCCCATGCATTTTATTTTTAACACTCCCAATTCAGAGAAATAAAGGAGAGGTGGGCGAGGCCTCACGTGTGATTTTAAATTCATTAGCTACCTTACAAAAGGTACAAAGAAAGAAATGAAATCAATTTTAGTATTATATTTTATTTAACTCAATATGTCCAAGTGGTATCACTTCAACATATAATCAATACAAAAATTATTATTGAGATAGTTTATATTATTTTAACTATACTAGGTCTTTGAATTTCAGTATGTTGGGACAGTCACATTTCAAGTGTTTTAATTAATTAATTTTTTAATGTTACTTTCAGTTCTGGGATACATGTGCAGAACATGCAGGTTTGTTACATAGGTATACATATGCCATGGTGGTTTGCTGCAACTATCAACCCATCATGTAGGTTTTAAGCCCTGCATGCATTAGGCATTTGTCCTAATGCTCTCCCTCCCCTTCCCCGCTACTGCCTGATTTCAAATATTTAATAGGTACATCTGGTTGGTGACTCCTATTTTGGGCAGCATGATTTATATGCACCGATATTACTGTCAACAACCACCAATTACTCATGTAACATAATAATAGATAGATATCAATTATATGGTGCTTACAGTGTGCTAAGCACTATGCTAGGATATGTCTCATGATCTTATGAGGAAGGGGAAGCAATGAGACTCAGAATGGTGAATGACATGACCAAACTCACTCAGTTCCCAAGAAACTTAACTGGGAATTAAATAAATGTTTTTTTCTTCCTGGCATCAATTACTAAGCTATTACCCATGATGCTATTGTGTGTCTCCATTTATAAAACTATGAAATCATAGGGTTATGATTGATATAATGGAATAACACAGTGGAATAGACATTGTTTTCAGAAGCCCACGGAACATTTAGAGAGACTACAAAACAGGCTGGGCATGATGGCTCAGGCCTGTAATCCCAGCACTTTGGGAGGCCAAGGTGAGTGGATCAGCTGAGGTCAGGAGTTTGAGACCAGCCTGCCCAATATGGCGAAACCCTGTCTCTACTAAAAATACAAAAATTAGCTGGGTATAGTGGTGCGCGTCTGTAGTCCCAGCTATTCAGGAGGCTGAGGCAGGAGAATCATGTGAACCTGGGAGGTGGAGGTTGCAGTGAGCTGAGATTGTGCCACTGCACTCCAGCTTGGGTGACAGAGCAGGACTCCATCTCAAAAAAAAAAAAAAAAGAGAAAGAGAGAGAAAGAAAGAAAGAAGGAAAGAAGAGAGACAGAGACTATAATACAAGTCTCAATGAATCTGAAAGGTTTTATGTCATACAAATGAAATTTAATTAGAAAAAAATAAAGAACAGGACCCTATCTGGAAATCTCTCAACTATCTGGAAACTAATAGCACACTTTTAAATAGCCCATGGATCAAAGAAGAAATCAAAAGTGAAATCTGAAAGTATTTTGCACTGAATGTAAATGAAAACACACGTCAAAATGTATAGGATGTAGGTAAAGCAGTACTGTGAGGGAAATTTATAGCTCTAAAATGCTGATATTCAAAAAAGATGAAAGGTTTCAAATCTTGGGGTCAGAAAGAATGATCAGGATTATCTAACCCAACTATGAAGTCTGAAACCTCTTATGGCATCCTCTCAAGTGGTTGTGTACACTGTTTACACCCACACTCCACCACCGTATCAGGGAACCCCTCCTTATAGAAATGGCCTATTCTGTCTTTTAATGCCCTGGTCTCAGCTTTCCTTTACAAATAGGGCAGGTGTTTGTTACCTTTGAGGCAGATGCCGAATACACAACTTTATGTGCCTCATCCACATGAAGGCTCCAGATCTGAGGTTCAGTGGGATTTTTTGAGCCTCCATCCCAAATGGTAAATTTCTCTTGGCCAGTGAGTAAGTTCCATAAGCGTAGCGTGTAATCCTTCGAAGCAGAGATGGCAAGGGTCCCTTTGGCAAATACTTTCACGCACCTCACCTCACCTGTGGCAGGCCAGGGTGGGGGAGAGTATATTAGCTGGGAACATTTTGACCTTGCAGCTATCAAAATGCTTGTCAGCTGGGAAATACCCTGGTTTACCAAAGAAAAGATGGATGGAAATGAATTGTGAAAGTTATCAGAATAAAAACGGAGTCAGTAATGTTAAGAAAACCCTGACAAACAGAGGCTATGAAGGAAGGCTGTGAAGAGAGGGTTCTCACACTTGTATGCCTGATAACAGAAAACACTACAAAAATCACAACCTTGCACAAAGGCTATTGCAACCGTACAGAAAAAAATACATCTGCAAGGCTATCTCCCCAGCAACTGCCTCTCCAGCCGCACCCTTATTATTGATCTTCGTAAACAAGGATAATTATTTCAAAACAATGATGTAATTCTCCTCTTTTTTTTGTTTTTTGTTGTTTTGGTTTTTGTTTGTTTTTTTGTTTTTGTTGTTGTTGTTTTGTTTTTTTGAAGACAGAATCTTTCTCTGTTACCCAGGCTGGAGTGCAGTGGCTCAATCTTGGCTCACTACAACCTCTGCCTCCCGGGTTTGAGCAATTCTTGTGCCTCAGCCTCCCGAGTAGCTGGGATTACAGACGCCCACCACCATGCCTGGCTAATTTTTTGTATTTTTAGTGGAGATGGGTTTCACCATGTTGGCCAGGCTGGCCTTGAACTCCTGGCCTCAAGTGATCCATGCACCTGAGCCTCCTAAGTGCTGGGATTACAGGCATGAGCCATCATGCCCAACCTTTTATTATTATTTATTATTATTTTGACACAAAGTTTTGCCCGTATTGCCCAGGCTGGAGTGCAGTGGCATGACCTTGGCTCACTACAGCCTCCCTTTCCTGGGTTCAAGCAATTCTCCTGCTTCAGCCTCTCAAGTGCTGGGATTACAGGTGCCCACCACCACACTTGGCAATTTTTTTGTATTTTTAGTAGAGACGGGGTTTCATCATGTTGGCCAGGCTGGTCTTGAACTCCAGACCTCAGGCGATCTACCCATCTTGGCGTCCCAAAGTGCTGGGATTACAGGCATGAGCCACCGTGCCTGGCCTATGATGATGATGATGATGATTATTATTATTTTGAGATGGAGCCTCACTCTGTCCCCTGGGCTGGAGTTCAGTGGCGTAATCTCAGATCACTACAACCTCTGTCTCGTGGGTTCAAGCAATTCTCATGCCTCAGCCTCCTGAGTAGCTGGGATTACAGGCATGTGCCACCGTGCCTGGCTAATTTTTATATTTTTAGTAGAGATGGGTTTTCACCATGTTGGCCAGGCTGGTCTCAAACTCTTGACCTCAGGTGATCTGCTCACCTCTTTTTTCCAGGAGTTTGAGACAATACATCCCAGCAAACAAAGATTTTTTTTTTTTTTTTTTTTTTTTTTTTTGAGAACCTCTCTCTGTTAGTTAAATTGATAGAACCTGTCCAAATGGAAAATAATGAAATGTAGCAGAGCAAAATTCAGAGGGCCACAACTGGTTGAGTCAATGAATTGCCCCAGATGTTGAATTTGTACTAAACAGATAATTGAGTTTTATAAAGATTCAGCATCTAGAGTGTCTAAAATTAATAACCATGTAAAAAGGGGGAAACTTCTAGGAAAATTATAGGATTTCTCTTATCATTTTTATAATCTTGTAAAAAAAATAATAAGCCAGGTGTGGTGGGATGCACCTGTGGTCCCGGTTACTCGGGAGGCTGAGGTGGGAGGATCATTTGAGCCCAGGAGGTTGAGGCTGGAGTGAGCTATGATCACTCCACTGCACTCTAGCCTCAGCAACACAGCAAGACCTTGTCTCAAAATAAATAAATAAATAAAAATAATAATCTTAGAGAGCTATTTCCTAAGGAAAACATACAATTTGGAAGGCATAAAGGGGAAACATCGACCAACTGGATTATGTAGAAATGTAAAACTTCAGGAGGATAAACTGTAGTTGAAAGGCACATCATGAGAGATGTGGAGGAGATACTTACAACGTATAACAGACAAATGGAGATTGTGCTTAATAAACAGTTCATCATGCTGTGATTAGGGCATGAAGGTGGAGCCCTGGGGAATGGGATTAGTGTCCTCATAAAAGTGGTCCCAGGCTGGGCAGGGTGGCTCATGCCTGTAATCCCAGCATGCTGGGAGGCTCAGGCAGGCAGATTGCTTGAGCTCAAGAGTTCGAGTCGAGACCAGCCAGGCCAACATGGCAAAACCCCATCTCTACTAAAAATACAAAAATTAGCTGGGTGTGGTGGTGGGTGCCTGTAATCCCAGCTACTCGGGAGGCTGAGGCAGGAGACTTGTTTGAACCTGGGAGGCAGAGGTTGCAGTGAGCCAAGACTGCACCACTACACTCCAGCCTAGGCAACAGAGTGAGACTCTGTCTCAAAAAA